TATTAACAGCATTGGCTGAAAACACAACCGAGCCATTGTCGGTAATCTTCATATCACCAATGTCTCTGGACCAGTCTAAACGTCCAAGAGACTGGAAAGATGCCATCATTAGTCCGGTCTTCAAAACCGGATCTAGAAACTTAGTTCAGAACTATCGTCCTGTTAGTTTGACCAGTATTGTTGTTAAACTACTAGAAAGAATAATTCGTGATGCCATCATTCAGTTCATTGAAGGGAACAAACTTTTCGCTGTGGAACAGCATGGTTTTAGAGCAGGTCATTCTTGCTTGACCAACCTTCTTTTGGCCGGATAAAGTCGGGCAAGCTCAGCTGATGCTAATATACCGGTGGATGCCATATTCATCGACCTTAGCAAGGCGTTTGACAGGGTTTCTCATTCAGGTCTTCTAGTAAAGTAAGGTAGTCTGGGAATCAATAAAGTGGTTGCCGACTGGATTCAAGACTTTCTAAAGGACAGAAGACAAAGAGTACGAGTTAACGGGGTTTTATCAACATGGGAATCGGTTAAGAGTGGCGTTCCTCAGGGTACAATTCTAGGCCCACTTCTTTTCCTGATTTATGTTAATGAGATTCCATCGGTAGTTAAGTCATCCTGCTCACTGTTTGCTGATGACATCAAGATGTGGAGGGCTTTACACGATGACAGTGATCAACTTGCTTTGCAGGAAGATTTAAACTTGTTGAGTGATTGGTGTAAGCACTGGGCCTTGGAGATTAACTTAAGCAAGAGTGTAGTTATGCATGTACCTCGTAGTCACGTGCACAATTACTCAATGAATGGCATTACTCTCCCAGTGGTCACTGAGTTCAAGGACTTGGGAGTGGTTGTGCAGCATGAATTGAAAACAGCAACAAGCTGTAGAGCTGCAGCCACTAAGGGTTTTCGAATATTATGGGCCATACGCAAGGCTTTTGCGAACTGTGACGCTGATATATTTCGTATAAACGCGCTTAAATACCCTTACTTCCCTAAAGACTATAAATAAACTAGTAGCATAAATGCATAAAAAGACTATTTCACTCTACCGACTATATAAATAAACTATTTATCCCTAGAACGAATCAACTATTAGTCTACTACAGTACCTAAACGCGCTTAAATACCCTTACTTCCCTAAAGACTATAAATAAACTAGTAGCATAAATGCATAAAAAGACATAGTAGAAACAAATTTTTGTTCATCAAATTACAATGTACAACGAATATAATCAAATCTTTTAGACTCGACCTGGTTTTGCTTTGTCTTCTGGTACATTTCTGTTGTATTTACTTTGTAGTACAAGTTGCATTGATCTACATTCCGAATGAAGCTGAGAAACAATTGAAGTCACTTACTCATATATCATCCCTCAAGGTTTGGCTAGTAATGGCTCAGCATCCTTGATGAAATCCACTGTCACCATAACAAGACGCTGTACAGCATCTTATACAAGCACTGTCAACGATCTAAAATGGTTTTTATATAGCTTTCTACGCGTTTATCAACTTACTCGTACGGAGCAACCATGCTGTGACAAATGGCGGGCTATGGGTGACTTGAGTGCAGTAAAACAAATCTGCTTGACAATGACCAATATTAATCTACATTCAGTTGAATTCACATCTGGTATTACTTGCAATAAAAATGATGTTAAAATCATACAAATAAATCACTCATTTTAAATTAATACACAATTTGAACATAAAACAAGATACGATGCCGCACACAACAAAGTTATATGGAGGAATTGACTTCAAGCTTTATTTTTTTCCCAAATATTTGTAATTTATCCGACACGTACTTGGGTTTTTTTTGTTAATGCGAAGACAATATTTCTATATTTCTTTATGTGCTCCATTGAACGACTAACTATCAGAATGTGCTCACTAACTGATATCAGAGAGGACAGCAACCATGTAATTTCACTATAAATCAAATTCATGTAATTTAAATAATACTTATCCATGCCTGTACAACTGGTGTGTCCTACATTGATAGGAAAATATATATTATTATTATTATATTATATCCGACTTATATCAGACCTCATTTGGAATATGGGATCCAGGCAGCGAGCCCGTGTTTCAAATACGAAATAGACTTATTAGAAAGGGTGCAAAGAGTAGGAACTAAGCTAATAAAGGGTTTCTCAACCCTCTCATATGAGGAGAGGTTAAGTCGACTGGGTTTATTTCCACTGTCATACGGACGACTTAGGGGTGACCTAATACCAGTATACCGTATCCTAAGAAATGATTTTGGAGCAAATTTACCTAATTTATTTCTTCCTTCTAGCACCAACCAATTGCGAGGACATCACCTCAAGGTTCAAAAACCACGGTCGAATCGTCTGCGTCTGAAGATGCGTTTTTCGCATCGAATTGTAAACCACTGGAACTCCCTACCGGAACACGTCGTATCAGCGCCATCTGTTGATTCATTTGAGGCGAGATTGGACCTCCTGTGTGCAACAAATCGAAAGGATTAACACAGGCATATAGCCTACTATCCTAAATAAATTTTAAACTGTAAACTGTGTTCACAACCTGGGGACACATATGAAGTAGTTGATTGTGCATTAATTTGATCCAATAATTTATGTTGATGTGTCCATAAAGAAAATGATATCGATGGATTTTACATCCATTTCCATTAATGTTACTCTCACTGACTCTATTTGCTGTGTATGTGAATTCATCGGGGATAATAATGTGGACGAGTTTATTCCGATCCACTACTCAAGGGAACTTCTACTGCGATGTACTTTCTATTTCCAATTCAAGTTCAGTAACACGCCCTGTGGACAAAGGGACGGAGTGGCAGTGAGGTCCTCAGTGCGTCCTTAACTTGCAGACTATTTCAGAGCAAGTTTATAGAATAATATGTTACAGCCCAATTTCGATATTTTCCATGCGTGCCAAAGTACATGGGTGGTACTTTTATCTTATGTGACAAGAATGATAACATCGAAATGATAACTGAGTAGCTCAACAACACCACTCTATCTAGTGCATGTCGCAATCACAGATGGATTCCCAATTTCGTTTTTCGATGGTTTGCTAAAACGGAGATCTATCAGTTCTCTTAAGAGGTCAGTCTAAAGGAAACCAGCATAGAAGTCAAAACAAATTTTCATAATTTGGTCTTTTTGAAAAGAAAGGGAAATCCGATCCACTTGCGAACTTCAAGAATAAGGAGGATATACACCAGCAATACGATCGATGGTGAAATGGAGACCATCAGAGAGGACTTCATGTCAAATGTGTATGCTTCAAGATTGACCGAGAAAAACATGAAAGCAAACCAAAACCGTAAAACTCCTCGGTGGTGCAGAAGAAACTGCTGTATATGAATTTCGAATTTAAAGGTGATACCACATTTGGAATTCCGGAGAACCACCCACCCAGACTACTGGGAAAAGGTTCCTTTTCAGCTGATCTATGGACTGATGTCTACAGTTGGAAAACGATCAATGGATGTGTGAGGCGCAAGCTGCCGCTTTAGGCCACTTCAGTACATGTTTATATGTTCACTTGTTCCCGTGGAGTTAGTTGTGTTGGCCGCACACAGAGCACACTTTACAAGGTGAGACCGAATGGCACAAAAACCGTTAGGTTTCAGCATTTGCGTATGACAGAGGTGCTGGCGACTCACTAATGCAAGCCAGAACTCTGTATACAGGAAAACGTTTTCAGTCCCTAGTTTTATCACGATGTGAACCTCTTCATTAATCACCCTCTAGAGTGTTTGTTTTTTTAGTAATCAGTTCACTCGTACATGTTCATTTTGTAAATTTTCTCGCCCCCTAACACCTTTCAAATGGCCACTCTGCCACTCAAGAACAATTTAGAACCTATCAAATTTCGAACACTTTCTCCCCTGTGCGGTTGAGTGATATGTGATTTTCAATTTTACATTTGATGCCGTTTCTGAGCAATTATACCAATCACGTCACCACCCTGATACGTTGTTTGCCAAATGAATATACGATTGTGCAGCCCCTGAAGATGATTTCACCGAAAAGAGACTATCCGTTAAATTTCTTTGTTCTTATATTCACTTCTGGATGGGTATTTCCCTTGAATCTGAAAATTTTCTTAGCTGACTTTTCCTTCTTTTTCTCATCGTGACTCAGTGTTTTGGAACAAAATATTGATTTTGCTTTATAATTCTCGTTCTGCATTTGATATTGGGTATCAGTGAAATTGCAAGGTTGTTTCGCCTCGCATGCTACATTTCGCCGTCATATCCTACGGTTATTTTAAATCAGCCAATATATATTGACTTATTTAATTGAATTTTAGATTTTCCTGTCGATTGATTGGACACAAGTGCTCGGTGTCAGGTTGGCATGTCAGCTTTTATTTCAACAGGTACATCCAGATGACGGATCTCAAATAGGACGAAATGCGCACCCCGGATTCCACTGCTAGTTATGATCCACCGATTACATTGGTGTATAATTTTCAACACTGGTAGAAATCGCATGACTCCCTTTTCGGGAGCATTTTATTTGCTACTGCTTGACAGTAGTATGTCGCATGGCCAAAACCGTAACATCTGGCGTGCTGTTTCGTCAACTTCCAGTTTTATATCGGCGAAGGTATAATGAAGTTTGAAGTGATAAGAAACGTTGTATTCTACGTGTCCATCAGACGTTTCTCCTGCACATAATGAGTGATAGTTTGACCGGATGACGAAAGATTGAGCTCGATTTTGGTTCGTGCTCTTGACAAAAACCAAGCTCGAAGTAATGATAACTATTATTATGAGGTTGGTATCACTTTTTTGAGGTGAAGTTAGTCTGTGATGCGTACCTTGAGTCTTCGCTACTTCAAAAAATAATTTTAACAGGAATCAAAAAAGAGACAAAACTACCCTTTAATATACACGCATTAAATCTGTTCAAAACATAATCCAAACTATAGCAAACATCAACTGGCCAATCATTGAATTTTAATTCGCTAGCAGACATCATTGAACTTTGATTCCATGGCATCAAATTAGGCCTATCACTATCTATGAATGATGAAGTTGTTTCCGTAGAATCTGATACAACATTTCGATATACCTCCTCATATAATGATAATGATGGCAAGCAGATCAGCCGGTCATATCGAAGTTTTAATTCAATATGGAATTCATTGAACATTGATTTGATGAGCAGAATGACTTCAGAGAGATCACAATTCTCATAGACAAAAAGATTGCCAATTATTACAGCTAGGCGATGAATTAAACAGCATGGATTCGCTAGACCAAAATGTGCAGCTAATTTTTGTACCTTAAAGGGAAGAAAAACAGATGTGAAACATTGAGAAAGTGAAAAAGTACACAAAGAGATTAACACTGTTTGTTTCTAAGCGTTATTTACAGGAGAACACATTTTAGCACCACTCTTTTGAAGGAATATTTACAGCAGACGAAACCATAATAAAAAAACACAAAACAAATCTGTCTATACCCTGAAGGAGAAAGAAAATGTGCACTAGTCTCTTTTGCGAAAAAATTAAGGTAACAAAAGTATCCTGGCTGAAAATGGAAAATGCATCAAAGTTACTCCCGGGATATTTGAAGCAATGTTTGGACAATGGTGGGTGGAATCATCACACTAACTAAGCTGACAATCACGGGGATATTATTAGACTAAAAACGTTCTGGAACATGCATATAACGCTTGACTCAGCATATATATATATATGCTTGTTTGGTGTTGTAACGGCAAATAGGTGGAAGCTTTAATTTGGCTTGATCTAAAGTAATCCTGACAAACGAAGAAAAAGAAGTATACTTTCTCGTTTAGACTAGAAAGATAACAATAATCGACAACTGGAGGTACAGTGGAATATTCAGAACCAACTGGAATTAGAGTGGGAAACGTTCAGTTAATTCTTCACAACATGGTGTTAACCATGCATTCTTATCTTGATTATTTATACGAGGAGGGAATAAGTCTTTTTGACTGGAAAAGTTTAATACCAGAAGACCATTTCTTTGCATACAGAAGAAGTATATTCAACCATTATGTTTACCTTGGCCTACAATAAAGCCAACAAATCCTCCATTAACACTACAAATTCCTTTCACAATTTTCTTTTCTTCTTCTTCTATTCCTCTGTTTCATTGACAATCGTTCATTTTCGACTTTTATGATTTCATGACCTTTCTTATGATTTTATTACCTTAGGTTTAAGTAGTGCTTTTCTAACTTGCTATCGTATTTACAAAATCTTGTTCATTACACTTCATTATATTCATTATTATTATTATTATTATTTGACAATCATTCACCAATAGTGCTTGTAATTTTACACCATCATATCATCGTTATTACTTTACAATCATTCTTACTGTCGTTATTTTCAACCTTGAACTTATATCTAGTCCGCCCCATTCGTTGGTTTATTTTCATATTGAGAAGAAGAAGAAGTTCAGCAAAGATGTACGATCTTTTCGGCGATTTCATTTTCAAAAGCTGTACAATCGCATTTAAATACATAATTTTACATGGAGACAATTCTTGTTTAATTCTACATAATTATGACGGCGAATTAAAGGTGATAACTATCTCCAACTAGATATGGTTTTACGGGAGGCTTAGAAACAAAATTACGCAGGATTAGAACGGATATCAAGTGTGTAAAAATGAGCGTGGAAATAAAATAATAATATCCAACTTGAGATGGGAATCAGGAGGTGCAAATATAGATTACAAGAGCCTTAGTAACAAAGTTACACGGGATTATAGCCAATTACAGGTGTGCAGAAAATGAGCATGGAAACAAAATTTTTTTAACTTAAAATGTTGTCATGTTGTTGTCATATTGTCTCACACACCCTGATTACACTCACTCTCGAAACCTGTATTTTTCTGTTGACTATATTTATATAGATGCACACATCATTAAATTAAATTACTTCATCTGATTTTGTCCCATGTTCTCATTGACCATGCATATTAAAAAATTATCTGACTATTGTTCCATCCCATCTAACACTTGTTCCACAATACACTTTCTGATATGATTCTAATTTGCCTTTACTGGCTGGCTATTGTATGCTTAAATTAATGGATTTATAATTGCAGAGCCTGAAGAAGAATTTATCTACAACAATTGTTCGCTCTAAATATTTTGTTCTGGGAAAGTTTTGTAAAATTTTGACTAAAGAATATAGAATCCAATTCGAGAAGATTAAAAGTTGTTTCGAACCAGCAAGAATCATGAAAATCAAAATTTATGTACTGAGGGATTGTTGAAAAACAGTGATCAGCAAGCAGAGCTTGCGTATGACGCATTTTTAGTACACACATTCAACAGGACTTATAACTAGTGAAGAACAAAACTTTTGTACGATGAAACAATCCGGTGGAACTGTCTGTACAAATTTCTCTATTGTGATAGCGAGAATATTCGAGATATTCATAGATTAGAAGACAACTCTATTCAGGTAACGTTTAATGAATAAAGCTGAAATGAAAATCTGGTTGGTGGCAGGATTCGAACAGTAGATTTTCTCATTACTACCACATTATGATGATTACAGGGTGTCATCCTTAACCTGGGGTTAGCAATCCAAAGGCTTCCAGTTCGAATCCTGTCACGACACATTTTTATTTCACCTTGAATCACCGCTAATTATTTCCTCAAACGCAAACAAAATTGGCCTTATATACATACACACACTGAAACATTAATTCAGCAAAAGGAGACAAAGTTTCTAGTGAAGTCATTAATTTCACTGCAATCATGAAAAAAGTGATAACAATAAGACACAAAAGTAACTATCATGCAGAACGTGTGAATTCTGTGGTGTGAGTAAACAAAACGTTGGAGCATTACCAGAGTGTCTGTCATATGGTGTGTGTCTTTCTGTACCATTCTTTCAGGATTCTAGGCATTCATTCGTGTGTATTTTCATCTACAGTGATATTTTGGTTAACATTCAGACGAAAAATTGGATCAGTGGTCCAAAATGGTTGAATGTCGGGCTAAACTCGGTCCGGGTTCAATTCCTAACTGAGACAGTCTTCTTAACCTCAGCTAGTCAGTCAGTGGTAAGCCCAGAAAAGAGAGGAGGTTGAGGGGTACGGTAAGCAATTACCTCTGGTAATAAATTTTTTTTAATATCACCGCTACTGAAACACTTCTAAGCTTAAATCCTGAAGACCTACGCATCCAACACAAAGGAATGAAAACAAAACAAAAAAGATACACAACTTACATCTAAATATGATAATTGTTTACGATTCCAAACTAATAATTCATGTGAAGTAGGATTTGTAAAAGGAGATGTTAATTCACTACGAAGAACATTATTGCACAAACCTTCAGAATCAGCGTCTGGAAAAAGAAACTAAATAGTATTCGAAACTAAGATTAGGTGTATTGTCAAGGAAATTAGTTAGCATAGGAAAAAAACCAAAGCAATTATTAGAATGAAGTGATCTAATTCACTAACACGCGTACACTTTTAAACATGTAGGTGAGAAAGGTATTCGTGGTCAGGGATAAAAATACTGTGAATATTAATAATGATAATAATAACAGTAACAATAATAAGGGAAAATGAACATAAAAATATTCCCTTTAACCACAAAATTATAACAAAATCAAACGTTCATTCGGTTTTTTGTAGCTTTTGATTACGTCATGCATGACTATCCTCCATTCAAGAACAATACTCACTCAGCCGAAACATATCCTCAGTTGAATAAGAGGACACCATATGAAATTAATTCACATAGCTGCATTTCAAAAATCCTCTACAAGTTTATTCAGACAGTAGCAACTTGAACTAATGCACTTTTGTTAGGCCAGACTCAAAGAGGGGGCGAAATAAAAAGATATGAATATACCTAAAGAATTAGTTATTCGAAGATTCAAACTGCCTTAATATGTCCAAGAAAAACATCTTCGATACTAAATAAGTTTATTTGACGTGACACAGTATGGTACAACATTATTCATAATCACATCAATGTGATGACATGGTCATGTTGGAGGAAAAAATGGAGCTCGAAACGTCGTGCAGTTATTAACACTGAACCTCTGTGTGTTATACCAAATATAATTATTAATTACTTATCGATTGAGATGGTCAGGACATGTTTTACGTATCCCTAGTCATCGTCCTCCTCGACGGGCAGTGTTAGCTGCCATAGGTTGGAAAAGAGCTAGTGGTGGTCAAACCAAAACATGGCTTCACTAGTCAATGAAATCCACAAAAGTTAAAGCCACCCAGCCAGCCACGTAGAGACGTGTTAAACTGTTGTCTGGTTGAGGTCCTCAGGATGGTGAAAACCAATGGTCGGAGGCAATCGTTGATATAGCTCAAAGTCGTTCTCGATGGTGCAGATACATTCACTCTTTGTAATTTATCACATTCAATGAAAATCTACTGTTCTTCCATATTCCTTTCCCCTCACTGGAACTTCTGTTTACTACCTCTCTTTTGAATCGCTCTTTATTCCCTTCTGTTTCTTTGTGTGCTACAAGGAGAGAATGTAGCAACTCGAACTACTGTACATCTGCGCCAAGCTCTGCGCTGACACTAGTCAGTCAGTCAAACTTATTAAATACGAAAAAGAATGTGAAATAGAATGATATCATTTTATATTGCAAATCTGGTCTTTCTTTCTCTATCGAAATTTATCAAGGGAACCAAATGTATGAAATTTTTGAAAAGACGCCTCCCTGCCAAAACTATTAAGTCACTGAATCAGGTAGTGACTTTGCGATGCAGAATATCGAGAGAGTTGACAAAGATCAAGTTCTACGAACAATGTCTGCAAACAGGTTGTTTCCCACGACAATTCTTGAAACAACTCCGAACATCTAAACTCCCTCCTACCCAAAAGAACCTTCGTCGGATAACAAAGTCTCATATTGAATCCTCGTACAAATATTTTTCCAATCTGAAGTGTCATCTGGCTACTTATGATACCTTAATAAATGACCTAAATATTATTTGCTGGCTCAAATTCATGAACTTCGGTAAAGAATTACAGTCCAGAACTGCAAAAGAATATGAAAACTAACTGACAAAAGCATTAGTCAAGGAAAAGTTAACTGAAGACTTCCCAGAAGCACCTGAACGTTATTTTTGTAATCTGTCAAATTTACAATTAAGCAAAATTGAATTAGAAGCTTTATCCTTGGGATTCAAGTTTCACGTCCCTAAAAAGCACATAAACCGTATAGATACAGAAACGCAGTTTGAATACTTATACTATCAACTTGCTGACCTGCAACCTGTGGACAAAGACAAACGAGGATGGCTAAAGTCCAAACTGGTTGATATAGCCAACCAGTACCACACATCACCATCCGAAAAACAAAATATGCTTACTGAGGAGCATAGAGCGGCACCAAGGAGACTATGTGAAAATGATGACATCGTCATGTTTAGACCCGACAAAGGCTCTGGAGTTGTTATAATGAATAAAACTGATTATGTACATAAAATGTTGACAAATCTTAACGACTCCGAAGAATTTCAGGTGGACAAAACTAAGAAGGATGCAACAACATCATTCAAAAATGAAGTGAATAAATGCCTCAAAGAACTACTCATCAAGAAACCGATCGACAACAAAACTTACAATGAACTCAAGTCAAAGGGTGGACGACTCTTATTTATGTACGGTCTACCAAAAATCCATAAGGCCAATGTGCCCTTAAGACCCATACTATCAATGATAAACTCACCGTGCCACAAACTACCTCGATGGCTAGCTGATTCGTTGAGGCCAATTCGACAAAAATTTTCAAATCATAGCTTGGATGACACCTTCCAATTTTCTAAAGAAGTCGATCACGTTGACATATCCAATAAACTAATGGTGTCATACGACGTGACTGCCTTATTTACAAATGTACCAGTGATGGAAACAATAGATATCATTTGTAAACGAACAGATCTATTGCCATTACCGGAGTCAGAGATGAAACGACTACTAATTCTTTGCACAAAAGACACCCAATTTAGATTCAATAACGAATTCTACCGACAAATCGATGGGGCCGCCATGGGTTCACCTCCAGGACCCATTCTAGCAGACATCTTCATGGGCTATCTCGAACAGACGCGACTGAGTGACACTATCAATGGAACAACATACTACCATCGATACGTCGATGATACTTTTGTTGTTTGTGACGACATGAGTCAGGCATCCGTATTATTTGACCGCCTAAATGAGGTGCATCCAAACATTAAATTCACCATGGAATACGAACACAACGATGAGTTCAATTTCCTAGATCTAAGTGTAAAAAGAAGAGACGATGGAACGGTCGAAAAGTCCATCTACAGAGAAGAAACTTGGACTGGACAATACCTTCACTACAACAGCTTCTGCCCTATGAGCTATAAGCGGGGATTAGTAAGGACACTGTACGACAGGGCTACGAAGTTATCTTCGCCCAACAAGATAGAAGAAGAATTTAGCTTTGTTGAAAAATGCCTTAAGGAAAACGGGTATCCAAAAGGCTTTATCCTACAGTACAGCAAAGAAAGAGATGAGAGAGAGAAGTATCCAACATTTGAAAAGAAGAAAGTGTTCATTTGCCTCCCATACAAAGGAGAAACAGTATCTCAAAAGATTGAAAAAGGATGAAAGGAGCAATCAAGAGATGCTTCCCTGCAGCCAATCTAGTGACACTATACAGTACTACATGTTCTATAAGCCAATCGAAACTGGATAACTACCCTGCTGATGTTACCTCCAACTGCATTTATAAATTTACGTGAACCTGCGGCAGCAAGTACATCGGAAGGACAGAAAGAAGGGCTTCTATCCGGTTTTCAGAGCATATTCCGAGAAAATTATGCTTAAAAGGAAGCAAATATTTACAAAGTCCAATTACCAGACACCTTGTGGATACGGGCCATTTTGTCGAGATTTCCAAATCCTTCAAAATATTAAACATACAAAGGACAGCGAATCTATGACGATTTGCTGAAGCAATTGCAATCAAACGTCTCAGACCAAACTTATGCACACAGAAAGAGAGTGTAGTAAATCTCTCACTCCCTTGGTAACCATATCACTTTCATTACACTGATTACTCATAGACACTAGTGAGTTCAACTCACTAAGCAAGTTTTCAAATTGATGAACTTTGACCTTGTTGAGTTGCCATGTTGACACTTTAATAGATTTTTCTGTTTTCTGTTTTCTCTCACCCCTCCTTTTTTCTTCCTTTTTTCATAGTTTGAAAGTATATAAATTGATGGTAACTTAAACTACAAAAATTCTAATCCTTCTATTCCGGATGCGTTTATCTTATAATGCTTTCTGTATTACCTTTCAAACAATGAAGTATGAAATGTTATTATTTATAACCATTGTAATTTCAGGTAGTTTGAAGCTGATGAGAACCTGTGAAATAGAATGATATCATTTTATACTGCAAATCTGGTCTTTCTTTCTCTATCGAAATTTATCAAGGGAACCAAATGTATGAAATATGAAATTATGTATCACCATGGTGACTTTGTTGCACAAACATTAAATTCCCCTTGCTCACAGAGTTTTCAGTGTCTTAAGGAAATCTAAGACAGACCCTTCTTTCTGATGCCTCAATGTATCTCCTATGGAAGCTACACGTAAATTGATACGCACAGTTGAAGCTAGCTAACACAGTAAGGGTATCTTTTGACTTTCTACTGAATCAACGAACATATCTGGTGCACAGGAATCAATCGAGTGGAATGAAATACCTCAAGTCGTCTCGTGATTATCTCTGCAATGTCATTACCTTTACATTTTAGGTTGATGAATAACTGAGGTAATTTAATCACCTTACATCCGTTTTTCTGCCCAATTTGTCGGTGAATCTTTGCGGATATCCGTTCTTTCGTAGACGCTTACATGATTTGCAGCGCATTCTCCAGTTTTTCTTTCGAGCATATTATTCTCGCTCTAAGCAATGATATTTTAATTACTCCTTGTTTGAGGTTAATTGAAACAGCCTGTTGATATCCAGGTAACTTCCACTCCATGTACTTTTTCGATCATAGATCTCTGAGGCAAGTCATAACCGGAATGTTGAATTTTCTGTCCACTTCAAATATTCTATGGTGAAATTAATTTTTCTTTGTGGGATGTTCTCAAGAGATCTGCAGCATCGTTTGATGCAACTCTTCCTCAATCACCCACTTACTCCCATTTTGTGAAACTATGAGTGTGATAAACCAGAATTCCGATCTTCACTGGGAATGCACTAATTACATACAACTCTAGTTTCGAACATACTCTATCGTCAGATTGATAGGATTGTAGGATTATTTTTGTCCTACAGATTTAGTCCTTCCTCAATACTGACGACACAGAGTCTTGGCTTTACTATAGTTAAAACAGAATGACTTGACTTAAACTTTATCTGTTTCTAAAACATAAAATAAATCATACAATTACACCAAGAAAATGTACAAATCCACTGTCATTCAAAAAAAGACAAAAACGTACCGAACAGTATTGAAGGTACGGACAAAATGAACAGTTAATTAATTACATGTACACACAAATTGAGTGACAGACAACAAACATCATTCAAGGTCACATCACGTGGTGAGAGTTACAATAAATTGACCAATAAACGCGACAAGAAGGTCACACCATATCGATTAGCTGTCTATCATATAGTCTATCTATCTATCCCGATTAACACACCTCATAACTCAAAATACATACCCTAAGCTAAAAATGTTTGCGATCATTT